CCTCTCCCACTCCCCCTGCCTGTGTTCCTGCTCTTGCTACCTCTCTCTGTGAAATAAATAAATAAAATCTTAAAAAAAAAAAAAAAAGAAAGAAATTTTGGTTGACAAATTGAATGACTACACCACCATACCACTTACACACATGGCAAATGCACTTTTAAACACGGGCCCTGGATGTCATCCCCTGAACAGTGAGTGAGCGTGAGGGGTATTACATTTAAAAAGGGTATTACGTTTAAAAAGGGATGGGCCTTAAGGAGGGCACGTGATGTGATGAGCACTGGGTGTTATATGCAACTCAAGAGTCATTGAACATTATATCAAAAACTAATGATGTACTATACCTTGGCTAATTGAATTTAAATAATATAAATAAATAAATAAATAAATAAATAAATAAATAAGGGAGGGGCCTAGCTTGGGAAAATGATGAGGAAAACTCCAATTATTGAGGAGCGTGCATCATTTAAGCTTGTGTACCTGAGATGAACACAGGGAGGTGACAGGAAGGCAGTGTCTGTTCCTCCCCACCCACCCACCCATCAGTGCATCTGTTGGGAGCCCCCCTTCCTGCCAGGTCTTTGTCTGAAGAAGCAAGCAAAGCCCCAGCCCTGGGAAGGACCCTCTGCTCCATCTACACAGCTGCCCTCTCAGATTTCAAGGTGGCAACAGAGCTGAGGACACTTCATGGGTAACAACTCATACAACTCGCCCAGCAGGTCTGTTTCCTCAAAAGCAGGCCCCGCCCCGAGGAGGAGGGGACTGGGCTCCACCCAGAACAGTACCTTAATACTATGGCAGGACTTACGGCTCCCGAAGCCTTTCCTCAGCTTTGAAAGATATTACTTACTGGCCCATTGTATGGATACAAAAACGAACATTTAAAAAAGGTTAGTAGTTGCCCTATTTCATCTGGCTTGTACCCGGCAGCAGGTCTTTCTGATGCCATGTTTTGTGTTTTCCCTACCAATGTAGTCTGCCTCTCTGCACAAAGAAGACATCCATGTTAGGGAAATCGACCAAATTGATTCTCCCAGACTTGATTTTGCGTGATTCTGCCGTCAGCTCTTTCCTGTCGCTAACCACTCTTTATCTTTAGGATTCAGATTCAAAACCTGTGCACTTGATACAGGCTGTCTAAAAGCTCATGTTAGAAAATAAGGCCAAACAAATCATCTATTACTATTAAGACTTTAAAAGGATTATCTGTTCTTTGCAAGCAGCCAGACGGTGGAGACAGCATGCTGGCAATCTGCTCGGGCAATTACAGTTCTGATCTTGCTGAGGGGTGAGGGGGGGACCCAGGGCAAATGCACGGCAATCGGAAGGCAATGCTGGGTGTTTGCCAAGGGTGCAGGCTAACTGGTTTCTTAAGCAGACCAATTGTTTAGGCCAAGAGATTAACACTTAAGAACAGTACAGTCTGGTAATATGACTTGGGGTCAACTAGGCTGCCAGTCCCTATACTCATTGAAGTGAATAGGGGCTCATTCCCAATCAGCACAGTGGATCAGAACAGGCCTGATCCTTTGATCTGGTCTCTCTCGGAAGGAGTCCATGCCTGCTAGTTCTTCTTCACCTCGCTGAACTTGGCCTAGTGCGGGCTCCGCACGGTGGGAGCTCCGTAAACCTCTCTGATCTGCAGCCTCCCTGAGGCTGGGACGGGAACCACTTTGCAGGGAAACCCTGACACTGTGCAAAGTCTCCTACTAGGAAGCCTCTTCAGGATTACCAGGTTCCAGTGAAAACCCACTCAGGCTGCTCTTGTCTCAACCCCTCTCCCTCAACCCAACAAACAACAAGTAAAAAGAAATCACCATAATGATTAGTGTTATCCACACAGGAGCTGCACATTGTAACCTTTGACCTTCTCATTTCCCCTCCAGTTAAAATCAGGATTGAATTCAGTGTGTAGTCCTTTATTAGAACCTAATACAATTCCTGGCACAAAGGAGGCCTTTGAAAAAATGGTAACTTCGGGGAAAGAATGAGCCTTCTTAGCAGCCCGGGGACAGAAACCTTCCCCTTCAGATGGGACTCGGACAACTAACGTGACCTGACACCCTCCAGCTTCACGACCTTACACAAGTCACTTCATCCCTCGAGGCTTCAATTTTGTCATTAATAAAAATAATAAAACCCATGGGGGCGCCGGGGTAGCTCAGCCAGTTAAGCGTCTGCCTTTGGCTCAGGTCATGACACCAAGGTCCTGGGATCAAGGCCCGTGTCGGCTCCCTGCTCAGCGGGGAGCCTGCCTCTCCCTCTCCCACTACTCCTCCCCCCACCCCAGCTCATGCTCTCTCTGTCTTTCTGTCTCTCTCAAATAAATAAATAAAATCTTTAAAAAAAAATAAAATAAAGGCCATGGACAAGAGCTATCCCTTCCATCTCCAAATTTTGATGTTTGTGATTATGAGTTTGAGTACAAAAGAGCTCTACGAGCAGTGAATGTTGATTTCTCCAGACCTTACCAAGGGCTTTTGCACCATATTATTTAAGCTCAAAAGAAATAAAAAAAATTGTTTGGAGAATGGGACAGAACTCTGCCCTCAAACCTTGAATCCCAGGTGGAGAGCCACCTAAGCAAACAATAACATTACGAGATACATTTTATGCACATAAAGATACATAAACTGTAGCTCGTAGAAGAGAAAACAAATCTCTCAGCCTGGAGATGCCAGGGGGTGCTTCAGCGAGGAAGAAACACCTGAGCTGGGATTTCAAGGATGGAAGTCACGGTAAGAATATTTCAAACAGAGGAAAACATGTGCAAAGTCCCCAAGAGAGGTAAGGGCATGACACACGGAAGGATCTGCAAGGGGAGAACACTGTAGCTACAGTATAGACAGAAGTATGTTGCAAAATAAAATGATGGGGACAGAAAAAAAGCCTGATCATGCAGGATCCTGAGGGCTATGGAAAGAGTTCTTGTATTTATCCTAAAAATGACAGTAAGTTGTTGAAGAGCTTTAAGCCAAAGGGAGATATGACCAAATGTGAATCTTTAAAAAAAAAAAAAAAAGGACTCCGATAGGGGCACCTGGGTGGCTCAGTCGGTTAAGTGTCCGACTCTTGATTTCAGCTCAGCTCAGGATCTCAGGGTCGTGAGATAGAGCCCTGCGCAGGGCTCCATGCTGGGTGTGGAGCCTGTTTAAGATTCTCTCTTTCCAGGGCGCCTGGGTGGCTCAGTCGTTAAGCGTCTGCCTTCAGCTCAGGTCATGATCCCAAGGTCCTGGAATCCAGCCCCGCATCGGGCTCCCCGCTCCATGGGAAGCCTGCTTCTTCCTTTCTCCCTCTCCCACTCCCCCTGCTTGTGTTCCCTCTCTCACTGTGTCTCTCTCTGTCAAATAAATAAATAAAATCTTAAAAAAAAGAAAAGATTCTCTCTCTCCCTCTCCCTCTGCCCCCACCCCCAGCCTCGCACACTCTCTCTCTCTCTCTCTCTAAAAATAAAACAAAACAAAACCACACTGGCTACGGGGCTGTGCAAAAAAACAAATTAGAAGGAAAACACAATGATAAAGGGAGACAGCTGGGGGTTACTGAAGGAGGATCCTGGTTTGGTAGTAGTGGCTGTGGGAATGGAGAGAAGTGGCTGATCAGAGAGGCCCTTACGAGGTAGAGGCAGGGGAACTTGCAAAGGACTGGATAAGAGAAGGAGGGAGGGAAGGAGGTAGCAAGGATGAATTCTAGGTCTTGACGTACACAACCAGCTGGACGGTCTGGTCCTAGAGGGTATACGCTTAGAGGGCCAGAGCTGGGTTTGAGTACACGGAGATGTACACGGCATCAGACTAGAGACGCCAGGGGACAGCGGGTGGTATTGGGTGTGCTGCTCCAAGGCGTCTGAGTTGTAAATGCAGAGATAGGGTTCCTCAGCAAGTAGTCAGCTGAAGCCACAGTTATGTATGAGATCACCTGGAGAGTGTACAAGGAGAAGAGAAGCCAAAGCAAGCCAGCATTCAAATGGGTAAAAAAAAAAAAAAAAAAAAAAAAGGATGAATCAGCAAGTGGCTGAGAAGAATAAGGAAGAAAAACAGGAAAATCTTTTCTCAGATGCTGACAAATTGTCTTTCATCAGCTCTGCTTTTAAAAAGAAAACTTGAAAAAGCAAACAAATTGCCACAGTCAAAGGGAACAATTAAAAATGAAGAAGCTCAAATATTCCATGTATATAATGATTATTCCTTGACTTACCAAGAACTGCCTCTATCAAAATTCTTACTTGTTAAGGTAGATTGTTTATTCCTTCATAAAGCTCACACCATGTTTCCCTTTAGGTAGACTATACTTCCCCTGACTTTGAGCTTGGCCGTATGACAATGGATGTGGGCAGATGTGATATATGCCATGTCCAAGCGGAATCTTGAAATATGCTTTACAGATTGGCTCCTGCTCTCTTGAGTTCCTCTCCTCCACTGTGAGAACAGCATGTCTCTTCAACTGGGATCCTGACATGAGAGGGTACAAAGAGCAGAACCCAATCCAGGGGTGCCCAGCAAAGGTACGGTTAATTCAGCCCTCCGATACCATGAGCTAGAAATAAACATTTGTGATTTTTAACCACCGAGCTTTGGGGGCTATTCGTGAGTGCAGCAAACCATGACTAAGCCACTTGTCCACAGTGAGAATTCTTTAAAACTAAATCTAATTATTTTTAACTCCAATAGAAAGCAAAGGTACTCTGTCTAGGACATAGTGCACACCTGGCACTAGTAAGCAATTTATAGACATTGTGTCATTTTAATCCTCACAACAATTATGTGCATGATTTTACATGAACAAAATGAGGCTCGGATAAGCTAAGTACATTCCCCACAATCACAAAACTAGCCAAGAATGGAAATGGCACAAAACATTCATCTGATTCCAAAAGCCAATGCATCCTCCACATCGCCATAGGAAAGAGTTTGCTAGAAATCAGACTCCGATCTCCTGCATGGGACACAAGGGAAAAGCAGGTGAACCACCAGTGCAGGCTCAGCTCTACTCACATCCGTGGGTCTTTGTGCTGCTGTTGAGCAGGCCCAGGGGAAGGAAGCAGACGGAGGACCTCTGCAGCCCGGGATCTGAAATCTCACATTGCCACAAGCTCTGCCTCTCTCTCTCGTCAATGCTACTGCAGATCAGAACATGGAGGCTGTAAGGTGCAACTCAGTGCTCAAGTGAGATCACACTAAAAATTGGGAACAAGGTTGCCTTTCATCTCCATCCCTATAGCCATGTACCCCAGGTGACTTTTTTTTAAAATCTCACTATAATCAACCCCCATGAATTCAGCTTGGTTTTCCCATCTAATCCTTGGTGATGGACACGACATCTGCCTTTCTGAATCTTGAGACAAAATTAAACCTTTAACATGTCAAACACAAAAGATAGGCAAGATCTATTAATTACTTATCAGTGTCCGTTTGTCCGTTGAGGAGTTTTGTGCTCTGCCCGGAATTTATCACTGCCTTGTAGATACCCTGATGGGAGCTGGTGGAGGTGGTGACATGTAGTGGAAAAGCAGAGGCTTTGAAGTTAGACAAGCCTGGCTTTCAAACCTGCTCTGCTTCTTACTAGCTCTGTGACACTGGAACTTTGACTTTATCTCTCCAAACATCAGTTACCTTGGTGAAAAATGTGGATGAGAAAAGTGAATTCAGTGAGTTGTCTGGAGATCAAATGAGATGGAATGTTCACTTCTCCACTGTGGATCACTGGCCTCTGCCTTGAGCTTCAAAGACACTCAGTGGCCAGGGTGAGAGCGCTAAGAGCAGCACTTCCGTCAGTGCTTCTTCTCCCCTGTAATGGCACACACAACACTGCATCATTACCATCACCCTCATCATCATTATCATCACCATCACCCTCATCATCATTATCATCACCACCATCATCATCATCATCACCACCATAATCATCCCCATCACCATCATCACCACCACCATCACCACCATCATCACCACCATCATCATCATCATCACCACCACCATCATCATCACCACCATCATCATCACCACCATCACCACCATCATCATCATCACCACCACCACCATCATCACCATCATCATCACCATCATCATCACTACCACCACCATCATCATCACCACCATCATCACCATCATCATTATCATCACCATCATCATCACCATCACCCTCATCATCATCATCACCATCACCAACATCATCACCATCACCAACATCACCATCACCATCACTACCACCACCATCATCACCATCACCACCATCATCATCACCGCCATCATCATCACCATCATCATCATCATCATCACCATCATCATCACCATCACCCTCATCACCATCACCAACATCATCATCATCACCAACATCATCATCACCACCATCATCACTACCACCACCACCATCATCACCACCATCACCATCATCATCATCATCATCATCATCATCACAGGCACCAACAGTATTTGACACCAAACGGTGAACACCCACTACAACATTTTACTAAGCTCCTTCCACACATTACCTCTAACTCTATAACCTTGAAGCAAAATAAATTACATTATACTCATTTTAGAGATCATCAAACTGGAAGGTGAAGTGGCTTGCCGAAAGAGTTGGTCTTCCTGATGCCTGGGCTAGTATCTTTCTCACTCACAGCACCACCTCCTGCTCCTGGCTGCTAAGCCGTGTGTCTCTCTCCATGGTTTTCAATGAGACCTCTGGGGGAAAAAAAATACATTTTCCTATCAGGACCACACAAACTCTCAAAAAAAGTATTAATTGAAAGGCTTGTACACCAAAACCTACAAATCATTGCTGAGAGAAATTAAAGGAGATCTAATTACATGGAGAAACATTCTGTATTCATGAACTGGAAAGCTCCATATTGTTGAGATGGTCTCTGACATCCAAACAGATCAATAAACTCAACAACACAAAAAAATCCCAGCAGGCTTTTTACAGACATTGACAAGCTGATCTTAATATTTGCGTAGACATGCAAAGAACCTAGAGCAGCCAAAACAATTTGGAACACAGTTGGAGGACTTATACTTCCTAATTGCAAAACTTATCATAAAACTACAGTAATCAAGACAGTGTGGTACTGACCATAAAGATAAACATATACATCAGTGCAATAAAATTGAGAGTCCAGAAATAATCCCTTATATTTATGGTCAGTTGATTTTCAACAAATGCAGCAAAACAATTCAAAGGGGAAAGGATAATCTTTTTAAAATATGGTGCTGGAACAACTGGATATCCGCATGCAAAAAAAAAAATAATTAATTTATATCCCTACTCACACCATAGCTAAAAATTAACTCCAAATTAATTAAAGCCTAGATGTAAGAGCTCAGACTATAAAAGAATTAGGAGAAAATCTAAAATATCCTAAAATCTAAAGGAGAATATTTGTGACCTTGAATAGGCAAAGATTTCTTAGATAAGACACCAAAAGCATGATTCAAAAAAGAAAAAATTGACAAAGTGGACCTCAATTAAAACTACATCACACCCTCTAGAATCAAAAAGATAGATAGTAACAAACATTGGTGAGGATGTGGGGAAACTAGAACCTTCATAAATTTCTGATGGAAATGTACAATGGTGCAGCCACTTTGGAAAACAATTTGGCAGTTTCTTAAAAAGCTAACCATGAATTTACCATACAACCCAAGAAGTCCATTCCAAGCTCTTTCCTCAAGAGCCATGACAACATATGTCCACGCAAAAGCTTGTTCATGAGTACTCATAGCAGCATTATTTGTAATAGCCCAGAAGTAGAAGGGAGCCAAAGGTCAGTCCACTGATATACAGATAAATAAAATGTAGCACATCCATACAATGTAACATCATTTAGCAATAAAATGAACAAAATACCCACACGGGCTACAAGTTGGATGAACCTCAGAAATGTTATGTATTAAGTGAAAAAAAAAGCCAGACACAAAAGAGCACACATTGTATGGCTCCATTCATTTGAAATGTCCAGAAAAGGCACAACGAGAGAGGCGGAATTCAGCCTTGTGGTTGCCTGGATCCGAGCTGGAACAGGGACGGACTGCAGACAGGCACACGGGATCTTTGTGGGGTGATGGAAATATTCTAAAACTGGATCGTGGTAATGCTTGCACAGCCTTGGAAATTTACTAAAACTCACTGGATTGTACACTTAGAATAGATAAAGTTTATGGCAAATAAGTTATACTTCAAAAAAATCTATTTTTAAGAGGTCTTAATTCTTGTGCAAACCTCTCAGACAAGGTGGAGGAGGAAGCCTGGGTGGTCCGCCAGCCCAGCCTTCCCCACTTCCCGTTCTCCAGCGAGGACACGTGAGCCCCTCTCTTTCAGCGCCAAGAGCTATTTCACCAGGAGCCTGCAGCAGCTGTGTCCAACTCCTCCACCTTAGTGACTCTTAACAGCCCTGATTCAGGCCTCTGGCAGCAAAGCTCACCTTGCAGAAATACTGTAAGAGTTATAAATACTTTAGGTCCTTGGGGAGCCCTGTCAGTTCTCTGCTGTGGCACCAGTGACCTAGGGCAAGGAAAATTCTATTCCTAGGCACACTGCGTGTCCGTGAGCATGCTCTGTTAATACACGCTCTCTTTCATGGCATGGTTTGGACTCTGAAGACATCCACGCTCTCCTAAAAGCTAATTCCTACAAGCTAATTGTAGCCAATATCCCTGAAAAACGGGTGACGGCCCATAATTAAAACTGAAGCCCATTCACCATGTGGAGGAGCTGGGGGACCTGATTTTAGAGCAATTCCATCCTTCTCAACCTGGGCAGCATCATGAAGCCACCTGGTAAGCTTTTTAGAAATACTATACCTGGGCACCACCACCACCCAGCCCCTCCACTCCCGCCCTGGCTACACACACACACACACACACACACACACACACACACACACACACACA